TAATCTACATTCTATCACGTGGCTTTTACCTCTCCTTTGTGTCTGACTTCCTCACTGTCTTGCTGGGGTCTCTCAAGCCTGAGACTTCTCCAGTTCTTCTTTCTCCCTGTAAGTCCCACCTGTTATCTCTTGCCTAGCTACTGTCCATTCAGCTCTTTATTAAACCAGTCACAGCAATACATCTTCACTCATTGTATAAATATCCCACAACAGAGGTGTCTGAAGTTCAAGGTCATTCTCGGTTTGAAGACAGCTTGGGATACATGAAACCCTGAGTGTAGTGGCTCACTACCATAACACCAATACTTGGAAATCTGAAGCAGGAGGGTTGGAGTTTGAGGCTGTACTAGACTATAAGAGCAAGACCCTGTCTTAAAAATAATTTAATTCTGAGTGTGACGGTGCACACCTTTAATCCCGGCAGCTGGAGGCCAAGGCAGACAGATCTGTGTGAGTTCAAAACCACCATAGTCTACAACGTGAGTTTCAGGACAACCAGGGCTATTACACAGAGAAACCCTGCCTCAAAATAATAATAACAAAATAATAATAGTAATAATAGTAATAATTTTAAAGAATTTTCAGTCCATCCTTTACCACTCCTATTATCCTTTCCTTCGGTCTTGTGGACTTCTTATATAAAAAGTTAGAGATTTTTAAATGGATGGTAACTGCCAATGATATGACTCTTCCATTTCTGGTTTTCATCTGTCAACAAAAGTGCTTAGGAACAATACCAAAATTGAAAATTTATTTATTTATTTTTCTTTACACATATGAGTGTTTTTGCTAGTGTGCATGTATGTGTACCAAGTATATATCTGATAACCATGGATGTCAGAAGAGGTCATTGGATCCGCTGAAACTGGAGTTAGAGATGACTGTAAGCCACCATGAGGGTGCTGAGGATTAAACCCTGGCCTACTTACTGTAAGAGCAATAAGTCCTCTTAACTACTGTGCCATCTCTTCAGGCCCCCAAATTGAATGCATTTGAATCGGAATGGTGCATCAGTATGTAGGTATTAGAATGATAGGGTTTATAAAGTGTCAGAAAGTAGCAATGCATGTTCATTGTGCTAACTTCATGTCTCATCTTTCTTTAACAGCATGGGATAAGATAATTTTTCTTTCTTTAAAGCAACTTTATATTTAAAAGTGCACTTGGACTTTAATCCTCAATGAAAGATATGAAAGCTTCATGTTTAGAAACCTAAGTTGGCAAAAATCTCTGTCCAATTTTTAAAATTTTTTTATTTAATTTTTTTCTTATTATACATATCAATCCCAGTTTCCTCTCCCTCCCATGCCTCCCACTGAGCCCCCCATCCTATCCCCATCCACTCTCCAAGGAGGGTGAGGCCTTCCATGAGGGAACATCAAAATCTGTCAAGTCATTTGGAGTAGGGCCTAGGCCCTCCCCCTGTGTTTCTAGGCTAAGGGAGTATCCCTCCATGGGGAATGGGCTCCCAAAGGCTGTTTGTGCACTAGGGATACATCCTGGTTCCACTGCCAGAGGCCTCATAGACTGCCCAGGTCTCCTGAGACCCATGTTCAGGGAGTCTGGGTCAGTCCTTTGCTGGTTTCCCAGCCAGCAGTCTGGTTCCAGGAGTTCAGCTCAGTGTTTAGCTGTGGGAGTCTGCTTCTGCTTCCATCAGCTACTAGATGAAGGCTCTAGGATGGCATATAAAGTAGTCATCAATCTCATAGTCAGGGAAGGACATTTAAGATAGCCTCTCCACTGTTGCTTAGATTGTTAGTTGGATCATCCTTGTAGGTCTCTGAACATTTCCCTAGTGCCAGATTTCTCTTTAAACCTATAATGGCTCCCTCTATTATGGTATCTTTTTTCTTTCTATTCTATTTCTCCTCTATTCTTGCCCTGACTCAATCTTCCTGCTCCCTCGGGTCCTCATCTCCCCTCCTCTTCTCCCCTTCTTTTCCTCCTAACTTCCTCTCCCCTCCCTCCATGCTCCTAATTTGCTCTGGAGATCTTGACCCTTCCCCCTTCTCCAGGGGGCAATGTATGTCTCTCTTAGGGTTCTCCTTGTTTCCTAGCTTTTCTGGTGGTGTGAATTGTAGGCTTATGATCCTTGCTCTATGTGTAAAATCTATATATGAGTGAGTACATACCATGTTCCTCTTTTTGTGACTGGGTTACCTCACTCGGGATGGTTTCTTCTAGTTCTATCCATTTGGCTGCAAATTTCAAGATTCCATTGTTTTTGTTTGTTTTGTTTTGTTTTCTGCTGAGTAGTACTCCATTGTGTAAATGTACCACATTTTCTCCATCCATTCTTCAGTTGAGGGGCATCTAGGTTTCTTCCAGGTTCTGGCTATTACAAATAATGGTGCTATGAACATAGTTGAACAGATGTCCTTGTTGCATGAATGTGCATCTTTTGGGTATATGCCTAAGAGGGGGATTGCTGGATCTTGTGGTAGACTGAATCTCATTTTCCTGGGAACGACCATACTGATTTCCAAACTGGCTGTACAAGCTTGCACTCCCATCAGCAGCAGAGGAGTGTTCCCCTTTCTCCACATCCTCTCCAGCATAAACTATCTTTGGTGTTTTTGATTTTAGCCATTCTGACAGGAGTAAGATGGTATCTCAGAGTTGTTTTGATGTGCATTTCCCTGAATGCTAAGGATTTTGAGCACCTTCTTAAGTGTCTTTCAGCCATTTTAGAGTCCTCTCTGTCCAATTTTTATTTTAGTTGCTCAGCAATTAAAGCATTTATAGCTTCTGCAGACAGCATAGGCCACATGGTGGCTCACAACCTTCTGTGAATCCAATGCCCTCTTCTCCCTTCTCTGGCACAAGGCATGCAAAAGCCAAAGTAAATATTTAAAAATATATACATAATATTAGGATAATTGAAATGTAAGATCTGAAGCAAAAGTTTCCAAAGAATGTGTCTTTTGTCTTACCCTGAAGAACCTGCCTCTGGTTGCACAGAAACTAGGTTAATAAACATGGAAAGATTCCTTCTTTGGTTCCCTATGTTGGGGACTGGTGTGGCATCTCTCTAAAAAGAATGTTCTGCTTTAGGATAACAGAGTACCCTTGAGTTAAACAGGATTCAGTCAGGCAAATACAGTTAACTAAATTGGCCATCATTGAGAAAAAAAAATTGTCCTTAGAAAGATATCTTCCTGTTGTCCAGATATTTAATATTACATATGGAATATGTGGCAGTGCATATATTTAATTATTAATTGGATCAGTTACTCGCACTCGTTGATCCAATAACTATTTGACTCCCAGGTGCCAGGGTCACTGCTATTATGCAAGTGGAATGAAATGTAGAATTATAGTCCTTTTTTTGTGTGTGCATGCGTCAGCACCTAATAGAAAGCCCAGAGAGAGAGAGAGAGAGAGGAGCGTGAGGAAGAGGACCTGACCTTGTGCTGAGCATTCCTTCGTACTTACCCAAGCCTACTACAGACCTGTGAGGACACTGCCAAGGTTCTGTGTGAAAGCCTGGACAACGGGCTGTAAAATCAGTCGACCTGTGATGACACCTGTCTCACAGTCCCTGCACAGACAGTCACAGAACTGCCACTTTTACTGCCGTTCCCACTTGGAAAGTGAGAAGCCGTCACATTCCACACCAGTGCAAAAGCAGCAGGAGCCAAGATGCTAACCCAGGTCTGCCTAACAGTGGCAGGGATCCTCAAGAAACAACCATCTCCCTCTCCACAATAAAAGATTTCCTTTTGTAAATAGAACACCGGAGACCGGGTCCAGAGACAGGAACTGACTCATGGAACTGTAATTTATTTAGAGATCTGGCAATCTGGGAAGCCAGGGACCATCCCCCAGTCTGCCTTCCCCATCCCATCCCCAGATGGCATCCAGCGAATCTGAAGAAGGGCAGGGAATCACTGCAAAGGTTGCCTCTCTCGTCAGAGGCAGCCTCATCTGAGAGGGGTTGGTGCTCGCCTCCTGGTGTTGGTACTTCTCTACCTGTTGCTCTCTGTAGTTGCCTCTCATCGTTGTAAAGGTTCACATGCTCCCAGTGATGAAGTCTACACTCCTCCCAAAGAGCCATCTAGAGACCCCTGTGTTAAAGGCTAGCTTAAAACAAGCCGTTAGCAGCTGGCAGGTGTTCACGCTGGACTACGTCCATTGTGGGTCTGTGGGTTCTGTCCTGAAGTATGAAGTACAAATGTGCTCTTACATCTTTAATTTTATGATTTATTTTATGTACATGGGTGTTTTGTCTGCATGTGTTTCTGTGCTCCTCTTGTGTCTCCTGCCCTCAGAGGTCAGAAGAGGGTGTCAGATCCCCTGGAACTAGAGTTATAGACGGTTGTGAACTACCTACCATATGGGTGCTAGGAACAGAGCCCAGAGACAAGTTCTCTTAACCACTGAGCCATCTTCCCAGCCCCCGGATGTGGTCTTACAGTGTAGAATAAAGCGGCCCTTTCCTTACCTTATCATTTCCATGCCCAGACTGGAGAATAAATCAACATTTCCCTAGGGCAGACAGGAGAAGATAAGTCCAAGTCATGGCCCCCTGGGCCTCAGCCTTGTTTATCAGTAATGTTCTATTGCCACCGGTTGGCTTGCTCAGCCTGTGATACCAACAATATAAAGGGGTATGGCGATGTAGGAGGCTCCATTTTCAATGACTTCCTATGATTTTCAGGATGGAATATGAACTTAAAAATTGGTGTGTATGGGTCAGGCATAGTGGCACACATCTGTAATCCCAGCACTCTGGAGGCAGAAACAAGAGAATCTCTGTGAATTCAAGGCCAGCCTGGTCTACATAGTGAGTTCCAGGACAGTTAAGACTATGTACAGAGACTCTGTCTCAAAAAACAAACAAACAATAATATACCCCTTTTGCCAAAACAAAACAAAAAAACAGTGCATACGGGGTGGGGGGGTTATTTTCCGTTGTTTTGGACTTTATTAACTTATTTGGATGGAGTGGGAACTGGAGAACATAGTTCTGACCTGCCTGTCAATGCTGCTTTGTTCAGCAGTGGCCTTGCAATGGAAATGAAGTCCCTCATCCACCCTCTCGGAACGGGGAGACCATTTCCTGCTCCAGATGTGGCTGCCACAACCTCTGGGAGGCATCCTTCTGTGACTGGTGTGGAGCCACGGTAGGCACCTAAAGACTGAGCCTTGCCACCAGGCAGTGGTGGCACACACCTTTAATCCCAGCACTCAGGAGACAGAAACAGGCAAGTCTCTGGGGGTTGGAGGCCAGCGTGGTCTACACTGCAAGCTCCAGGACAGCCAGAGCTACACAGAGAAACCTGTCTTAAAAGCAACAACAACAAAGACTGACTCTTTGCTGGCACCCTGGAGAGCTAAGGTCTCCCCATGGCCTTGCGGGAGATCCTTCCTATGGTTTCTCTGCCAAGAATTTGGAGGTAGAAATAGTTTCATAGACTGGAAAGGAGAAGCCTTTCTCACTGACATTTGATTCGTGAGGTTAACCCTTTCCACTCCTTTACTGACCGCTGGGAATTTCTTCCGTGAATGGAGTTTGCCTATTTTTTAATCAAAATATTCAAATCATTCATGTTTACCTGCTATTGCATGCGAGTAACAGAAGAGTTAATGGCTGTCTCCTTCATGTTTGCCTCTCCTCAGAAGCCCGCCTGCTTCGAGATACCAGGTGTCTCTCAGTTCCCAGGGCACTGGCACTTATGACCCATTCTTTCCACCTGGCAATATACCTTAGCTTCACATGCCGTTGTCTGTAATATAGACTCTGTTTGCACGTACCACGGTTTATTTAGGCAATATCTCCCATTGCTGGACACTTATTTCCTCTAGACTGCCACTAACTGGGCTGGAAAGATGGCTTAGGGGGTAGGAGCACCCTCCACCAAAGCTGAAGACCTGAATTCAATTCTCAGGATCCTTTTGTGGAAACAACCAGCTCTCCAAAGTTGTTCTCTGACCTCCCCACAGGCACCATAGTATACACACGTGCACACACAAACTAAAATATAATTTTTAAACACCTATAACACTACAAAAGATAGCCTGGGATACATTTTTTTGAAGGGCTTGTCCATGTGTAGGAGAAAGTTTAGAGGTAGAACTGTTAGGGCTGAGGGCAGGAACATGTGTTATTTTGATGATTAGAGACAGTATGATGTGAGGCTAGTTTAAATGTGGGCAAGTCAAAACTCTAAAATCAAAAAAATATTTCTGTTCTCTAGCTCGGCATTTCTGGTAGCCACTCTGTCTGCCCAAAATGTGGGGCCAGCAACCATCTGTCTGCCCGATTCTGCGGCACTTGTGGAATCTATGTGAAGTCCATAACACGATTCCGCATGAACAGCTTGGCCCTAGTTGCTGGGGCACCTCGTCCATTTGCTGAGGTAAGGCCTGCATGGTAAGTTCTTACCATGGTGGTAAGAACTGCTGCTGGGTGTAACTGACTCTGTGTACCCTGCCCTGTGAATCAGTCCAGGGAACAGAACCAAAGTACGTAGACCATGCACATGGACTGTGAACTAGATATGTGAATAAATTCAATTTAGGATTCAAACTCTTGGATGATTCCTTCAAAAATTATGTATATATGCAACTTCAAATCTAGCCTAGGGTGGAAAGTAAAACCTTGTCTCAAGAAAAAAAAAATCAAGAAACTAAAATCACATTGTTCTGTTGGAGACTTGTACCAAATAGCATCTATGAGGCAGTGGACATAGTGCCCCAGACAGAAGTAATTTTCTCTGCATTCCAACTCTTCTTGCATTTTCCAAGTAGCAGTTCAAGAGCCTTCCTCCCTGCCCTGTTACATCAGGTGTGCAAGATTTCTTCCCGTCAATAATCTCTGGCCGATGGTCATTTCTGCAGCACACACAGGGGTGAACGTTTTCCTGTTAGCCTTCAGACTCTGATCTCTGAGATGCACAAAGAACTTCTGATGTCACCTCATCACTTTATTGATGGAAATTGAAGATGGAAAGTCATTAGAGACTTGTGTACACACTTGGTCCTTAGTGCATACGCTTGGGAAGGGCACATGGCACTTTAACTCAGAGGCAGACTTGTGGGGTCGCCAGGCTCGTTGACACCTTTGTTTAAGTGAAAAGGTGTTCTTTTCTCGGGCCGCCTGCTGTCTGTTAAACAATGTCTATAGTGTATGCACTTTCTTCTCTCTGCCAGGAAATTTGTCCTAATAAATATACAAATATACATGGTCTGCCTTATGAATGGTGTCCTTTAAATGCAGTGGCACTGTTCAGTCCACACAGACTTCCATGATGGTTTTCTTAGACCCCTCAAAGGAATAGTCATTCTTAGCAGTTGAATATAGTTGTTCAGGGAAGACTGTGCTCCATTACATAGAACTGAGAAGGTCTTCCAGGCCCAGGCAGGGTAGAAGCATCATTAACTGGCTGAACCTGGGACAATAAATGACCAAGGGGAGGGGGGATCCCTTCATGGATCAAGGTAAGAGTTGCTGGGAAAGACAGAAGAAATGATGGCCAGAATACCACCCCCCCCACACACAAAAGCCTTTAGTTCAAAGAAAGTTTAGGGTATTATTATTATTATTATTATTTAAATTGCCTTTGATAACTGGAGATGGGATTAATTAAATTATACTCCAATCTCCCTTGCTCATAGCCCCGATCTGCCTGGCAGTCTCTAAGTGTCCCTTTGCCCACTTCTGCTATGGGGTCTAAGAAGGACATGGGCACACAGACCTCTGGCCTCTTCTACCCATCTGGCAAGCTCCTGGCAAAGAAGGAACTGGAGGCAGCTTGTCACAGGCAGAGGCAGGAGAAGATGAGTGACCACAGGCCAGTCCTCACAGCTGTCAGCCCAGGAAGAGGTAAGGGGCCCTTGCTCCTGTAGGAGGAAACCCTCTCTCTGAAGAACCTCCCTTTTAGATTCATTTTCATGGACTACAAATATGTTCCTTTTTCTTTGTTCACGTCATTTTTTTTTTTTTTTATGAACAGTAGCTTTTCCTTAACTGTTACTCCTCCAGTACTTCTAACTCCTGGCCTGCTGTCTGGTCCATCAGTCTCATGGTGCCTGCGGGTTCATTCTGCTGTGTACACAGGCTTACTCTGTACCATCATGACCACCTGTCATTATGGCTTCTTAGTGTATGAAACTCATATAAAACTCACTATTTTAACTATGTGTAAGTGTACAACTGAATGACATTCATTAATGGTGTTACACAGCCACCATCACTCTCTCCAGGAGTGAACACAGTCATCATTCCAGTAGCAACCTTGTGCTTCTCAAATGGTCACCTCCCACATCCCTTCTCCTGTATACACTGTCTCCCAAGTTCCAGTGCCTGTCACCCACCGACCTGCCTGTCTATGGACTCGCCATTTCTTGACATTTTCTGGCCCTTGTGACAGGCATTTTCCAAATTGAGGTTCCTTGTTCTCACATAATGCTAACTTGTGCCAAGTCAACAAAAACTGACCAGAATAACTTGTACCTGCTAAATACGAAAGCTGAGCTTGGAGGGTGTTCTCTCTGCAACAAACACAATGCTCAGAGGCTTTGCACAGAAGGATGAACTAAATAAAGTTCACCAGAAAGATCAAACTAGCTGCTAGACAGATAAATGTGCAAATAGCAATAATAAGCCTGGAGGGGAAACAAGACCAGAGTTGAAGTAATCAGTTATTTAAAATTTCCAGTTCTGGGGGCTGTCTCAGACTCTGCTACCTGCTTTTGGGACCCTTTCCTCCTACCGGGTTACCTCATCCAGCCTTAATATGAGGGGAGGTGCCTAGTCTTACCGCAACTTGATATGCCGCCTTTGGTTGATGTCCCAGGGAGGCCTTTTTGAAGGGAAGCAGAGGAGGAATGGATGGGGGAAGGGAGGTGTATAGGGGAGAAGCATGGGGGGAGGACTGGGAGGGAAGGAGGGAGCAGAAACTGTGATCAGGATGTAATATATGAGAGAAGAATAAATTTTAAAAACTAAAAAAACAGTTCTAACAAAAAAGTTATGAAATGGGAAAAGAGGAAAGTTCAACTAAAACATAAGAATAAAAGGAAAGTGAGGGCCAGGTTTACTTATTTTGTGTGTACAAATGTTTGCCTTCATATATGTATCTGCATTACATGTGTGCTTGGTGCTGGTCATAGAGGTCAGAAGAAGGCATCAAATCCCCTGGAACTGGAGTTAGAGATGATTGTGAGCCACCATGTGGGTCCTGGATGTCAAACCAGGTTCTCTGCAAGAGCAAGTGCTCTAACCACTGAGCAACCTCTCCAGCCTCTCATTGCTTTTTAAACCTTGTTTCTCTGGGGAAAGGGAGCACCAAGATCCTCAGGCTGCCATGATAGAGGTCTCCCAGCTCTACTTGCTTGCCAAGTTTCTCTGCTAGGAGTTAGAACTCAGCCACAGTTTGACTTGAGTATAACATTAGTCCTAAGGAGATTGTCTACAGCCATTTCCAGAATAATTCCTACTATCCCTCCTGTTTTCTGTCTCTTGGAATTTGGATGGTCACTTGCTGGCCAGTGGAACATGATAAATGAGATGCCCTGACAGTTCTGACCTTAAGCCTTAAGACGGTCAAAGGTCAGTGTGCTCTATAGAAAGTCAGCACCAAGTAAGGAAATCCACTGTTGTATTCCTGAACAAAAGAGACCCGCTAGAGGAGAACAGGGGTCCATGTACCAACTACTCAGTCCTTGAAGTGAACCCACATGGCAATGAGAAAAGAAGGTCTCTGCCATCCTAGCTGAGATCCCTCCCCAGTCTGCTTCTCCAACCTGGGCAGAAAGGTGGGAGCCACTACCTCTTTCTCCCACATAAGAGAAACCAAACACCTGGGCTCACGAAATCCCTATGGAGACTAGAAAGGGGCACAGGGAACTTTCTGGAGTAGTGGAAATGTTTATGTTGACTGGGATGAATACAATGGTCAAGCCCTTACATTTAAGACAGTATAATTTATATATGAGATAGAACAATATAAGAACAAACGGCTTCACATGCATCAATCAATATATATATATACATACATACATACATACATACATACATACATATATATATAAATGCGATGACCTGTGATAATCGTTATGATAGCTGGGTTGGTTGTGGCACTTGAGGTTCTGTAAAAAAACCAACACCAGTGGCCAAGGAAAATAACCTGTCTGAGAATGTATGTTCCACGCTCGATTCTTTCTTTCTTAAATGTGGAAGAATTAGCCATATGTTTGGGTTTCTCTCCCTTTTTAGGCTACTGGAGAAAACAGTTGGATCACATTTCTGCTCACCTCAGGTCCTACGCTCAGAACAACCCTGATTTCCGGGCCTTGATTGCAGAACCCAGGATGGGAAAGGTGGGTAAGAAAAATGAAGCTACCACTGAGCATCCCTGGGTTCAGGCTTCCTTAAGACTGTGCTTATTAATTGTGTGTGTGTGTGTGTGTGTGTGTGTGTGAGAGAGAGAGAGAGAGAGAGAGAGAGAGAGAGAGAGGAAGAGGAAGAGAGAAAGTGTTGAGTGTATGCATGTGTGTGTATGTGTGCATGTGTGCTTCCTTTTCCTTCCATCTCTTAAGAAAATATCAATTTGGATCTTGTTCCTATTTAGTCTGAGAGTCTCTGCCTTGACTCAAGTATTTAGCTTGTTTATAATTAAGAATATAGGTCAGATAGTTTTGAGTCTGTTGTTTTGTTCTTTGTTTTCTATTTATCTCATCTAGTGTTTTCTTGTTTGTTTGTTTCCCTATTCTAATCTTCCTTGTGATAAACATATTAAATATAGAGTTTAACATCTCAGAATTCCTAAGGATTGAGTCCCACACCACAATTGAGAATTTTTTTTAAATTTCTTTAAAAGCTTATCTCTGCTACCGTCCATGAAGATGGCTACGAAGTTAGCATCAGGCTGAACTATATTCAAGTCTCAAACAAGGTACGTAGCCCTTTAGAAGTTATTCACAGTTTGATTTCACTGATGGCTTGCAGTTTACAGAAATGCTTTCATATAATGAATAAAAAGGGAAAGTTCCAAATAGTAAGAAACATGACCTAGACAAAGAATTCCATGGGATTATTTAATAACTGTACTAACCATCAGAGAGGCCCTCTATCCAGACCAGAGGATGTGGTAGGAACAGGAGTTGCCATTGCCCTTGCTCTGGTGGTCCTCCAGGTCCTTTACATGTCACTGAAATGACTATATGTCCAGAATACGACAAACTTGGAAAAAAGACTGACAAAAAATGATTTACACCTTGACTTACTCGTTTTATACAAAAGAAACCACTTGGAAGGCTGAGGCATGAGGATCTCAGTGTAAAGACCAGAGTGAGTTCAGGGCCATCTGGAAAAACTTCATGAGACAGTCTTAAAAGTGGAAAGTGCCCTGGGGATATAGGCAGAATGCTTGCCCAGCATGAGCAGGGTTCCCAGCCTCAGGTTGCACTGAGTATCCTTCCTGAAGAGCAGGCTAGCAGTAGATCTTCTCTGTTGACATATTGCAGTCCCATCATTAATGATATGTGCAATGTTTTCATTGGCTAGAACCTGTACATCAACAAGTCGATGAATCTCAGTGACCACTTTCTGAGCAGTGTCACCGAAGGTGGGAATGGGCTGTATGACAGCAGGTCCAGCTTGGGTGAGTTATGTCCCTCTGGTGAGTTTTCAGTACCTAACCAAGAACACACAGATTGGGCAAGGGTTGATGAGACTTGCATAAAATTTGAAGCTAAGTCACAATCCTAACATGTTCCAGGCAGTTTGTTTCTCTGGCTTCTCTGGAGTTGGGGGTTGACTTTGGAAATTCTTTACAGGGTGGGGAAGTTTGTTTACTATGGCTGGTGGCAGGGGTAGGGTGTGTACATGTGCTTTTTAACCTAAAAGTTAAAGTCCCTTTTCCCTCCCCAACTAATTTTTCCAGTTTCTGTGGTCAAGGGTCTCATGTGGCAGGTTTAATAAAAAGTTTCTAGAAATTCTATTTTATCCTTGTGGCTATTGAGGGGCATGACAAGTGCCTCCTTACATGTAGAAGCGAGGCAGGCTCATTTGGTCTCTAACTCTTTGTCATTTCAGTGAGTGCCTATAGCCAGAGCACCTCAGACACCCCTGATGGTGTCAAGAAGATGAAGAATCTCAAGCCCAAAAGTTTCCACAGGAACCCAGAGCTGCCCACAGTAGGTCACTTCTTGGTCTTTTTAACTTGTTTGCAGTCCGTCACATCGCTGTGTGTTTAAACATTTTGTAATGGAATGCTCTCTCATTTTCTCCTTCTTTTAAACATCAGTGCTGCTCATTTTGTGGCAGATTTCTCAAAATTGTGAACTAGAACTATTTTTTTTTCATGATGGAACACTCCTTTAATTTCAATGTTCTATAGGCAAAAACTGCCCAATCTGTGTGTCCAAGGCCAGAAGTTTCTACAGAGTTCCAAGTCATCCCATATCATATAAGGAGACACTGTCATGAATTAGTTTGGTGCTGGAGGGAAGCCAACGGAAGGGGGTTAAGAGCAGACTGGTCTTACTGAGGACACAAGGCCCAGCACCCATGCCGCATGGCTTCCAACCATCTCTATGTAACTTAAGATCCAGAGAGGTCCTAAGAAATCCAACGGCTCTGTTTCCACACTTTGATTTCTTTGTAGGACCCAAGTTAAAAAAAAAAATCTCAGCACAGTATCTTTTCTCAGCTTGAGCCATTGCATGAAGTAACTGTTGTAGTCTTTAAGAGTGAGGTACATGAGAGTATATGTTCAGCTAGCACTTTCAATGGCTGCTTCTTTCCCTCTGATGTGGGATATTTCTCGAATGGTCCCTTCTTCTGTGGAGAGAAACCATTCTGTGTTCCAACACATCTTTCCCAGAAGCTACTCTCAATCTGGTGTAGATTGAGCACTTGTAGTCTACACCACCTGGGCTGATTAACAATTCATTCCATCCAGCACAGCCTGGAAGTTATCCACTTGGACATATTTTATCAGGGACCCAAGAGGCAGGCAGGGGAAGGGCCAAGATACTACCATGGCCTTCACTATCTTTGTCGATTAATGAAGGCCTGCTCAAATAGTGGTGGGAAGAGCAAGATGGGCAGGTCATCCAGAATAAACTTGGCCAAATCTCTATCTGTCAGCAGCCCTTGAATGGCCAGCTGCTCCAGAGTAGGCACATCCTGGAAGCTCATCCTGAGGGGTTCAGGTAAGGGGATACAGATGCAGGCACTGGTCACGGGTCTTCTAGTCCCAGCTGTATCAACAGGCAACTCCGGGAGTCCAAGTTAACTAGAACTATTTTTAAAGTCTCATCAGTTTCCTGGATCATCTCTGTTTCCTCAGGGGTCAGTTCTGAGTGACCATCTTACTGTCTTATATTTGGTTTGGCTGAATACATGATGATACTTCATTGATTGTCTAATCACTTAACAAATGGAAAGCTGGTTGGATCAGCACCGGTGCCTGGCATCGGTGTCCATTGTGAGGGCCAAGCACAGATAGGTTTGTGAGTTGAAGCCCCTGTGTGGACTGGTGGTTATGGATAGATTTCTTTGTTACTATCATGATGCTATGAAGATACACCGTGGCCAAGGCAGCGTATAAAAGAAAGAATTTAATTGGAGGCTCGCTTATTGTTTTGGATGGTTAGTCCATGGTCATCATGTCAGGGAGCATGATGGCAGGCAGGCATGATGCTGGAGAAATAACTGAGAGTTCATATCTGATCTGCAGACACAGAGAGAAAGACACTGGGCTTGGCATGGGCTTTTGAAACCCACCCCCAGTGACACACCTACTCCAACAAGGCCACACCTACTCCTTCCCAAATAGTTACCAAGCATTTAAACAAATGAGAAGCCTATGGGGGCTGTTCTCATTCAAAACATGATGGGATTCCCCAGAGTTACCAGGCAGGAGGCAGGAGAGCCACTCGGTCTCCTGGGCTGCCCGTGTAGGTCTTTCCTCTGGGCAAGGGCGTTAATGGTACAATGTGCTCACGTATATTTTAGTTCTGCATGAAGTTGTTCTTGTTCCCTTCTCCTCATATCCTCCCTTGTGACTGTGCTCTTCCCTTCACTCATTGGAAGCCTTTGCTGGGTAAAGCATGTGACTTTTAGAAAATGGTTGCAGGGGTTTAATCAGAAAGCATGGTTTTCCTGCCCTCCCGTGGGAACGAAGGGGAGGGTGCAGCTGTGGCAGCCAGTCACAGGAAGCCCTTCGTGCTGCACCCTTGCCTGCAGCCTGAATCCAACATCTGCCCTCCTTACTGACTGACGTTTAGAACCGGAGTGTTCAGCTGGAGAGGAAACACTCAGATCTCTGGGTCTCAGGTGGTTTTTTGTGTTGGTTTGTTGCCTTTTGCTTTCATCCACTTTAGTCTTCTTAGAAACCCCTCCAAATCATTAGCTCACTAACAGTGGGTATCACTGCAGGATTTGCTGCAGCTTTAAGGTTGTGTCTTTTAAAATACATACCCTGAATAATCCCAAAGGGAGCTTCGGAGAAAGGGACAGAGGGTGCCCTGCTGCCTTCCTAAGTGTGCCTGGCTCCGGCCCTCTTTGGATGCAACGCAGAGAACAACTGTGGGGGACTGCAAGCCAGACATGGAGATAGGCATGCGTGGTGCTCCCTTCCTCCCTGGGTTCTGCCAGCCCCCTGGGCTTCCATGGTGGGCATGCTCTAGTCTTCTTGCTTGCCTCGCAAGTGCTCTGAAGGCAGGGACTACTTCCTGCATTTACGTGCCACTCCTGCGTCACAGGCCTCACGTGGGCTAGTAAATTTGGGGGGAGAAGACCTAGTGATTGTCTTTGGCTCCTTGCGCTGTCCACCTTGCCTCAGTTTGAATTAGTGAGGGCGAGCAGGTGTGGAGTTGGTTAGTCTGTGTGGCCCAGATCCCCCACTGCTGTGTGCCCACACCTTCTCATTTGCGCTAGCCAGCTCCAGCGTTCATTCACCATGGAGCACACCCAGCTGTGATCCCAGAGCTCAGGAGGCCGATAGTCTAATACACTTCCCCAGACGGAACAGAATTCACTGTGACTAGGTTCCATACCTAAGACCATGCTGGGGTTCTTCTAATTGGGATATAGTGTCTCACCAGAGATGTGGGGTGGCAAATGAGAGGTGACATAGCCTGAACCCCTTCTCTTCTGAAAGGCTTAGCAGCCCAGGAAGGGCAGGCAGGACCCCTTGAACACCCAAGGCATGCCTGGGAAGTCATGGCCGAAGCGCACTAACACAGTTCCCTCAGCCTTCTCTTTGGAATCCTTTTTATATATAAAGTGATATTAAAGTCAGATAAAGGTAAATTTCATAGCACTTGGAAAACATAAAAGAAATCTTCAGATGTCTCTGGACCAATGAAACTATTTTTTCCTAAGCAAGAGATGGGCCCTGTTGGGTCCTCTCCTCAGGCGAGTGTGCGATCTGTCATTCTGGGCCGGCCACCAGCACGTTAGGAAGCCTATAGCGTGGATTCCGGGTTTCACCCGAGCTGTTCTTCCTGGAAATATTCATTACAAAGCTAGCGAACTTTCTGAGGTTTTGTGAGGTCTCTCTCTCATGTGCCTCCTTGTCCTTGATTGTATAAAACAATGTCAAGGCAGTGTCCTTACCTACAACAAGGCTTGTGAGCTGAGCACAGATTACACATTACAGTTACATACATACACACACACACACACACACACACACACACACACACACACACAAACCCCTTTAACTCACACTCACCCATCCATGTTGTTTAACAGAGACTGTGACACTACCAAACTGGGGGAGGGGGAGGGGTTGTGCATTGAGAGTGGGGCTGGGACTCTGCAACACAGACACATAGAGATGATGAAGATGACCACATTCTGTCACCCCACAGCCCGAAAACAGACTCCTGCTGGAGGAAGTTGGCCCCACGGGGAAAGGAAGACTGTCTGTGCTGGAACAGCTGCTAGATGAAGTGAGTGCCCTCAGAACAGGCCTCTCTGCAGGGATCAGCATGGTTTGTGCCTGCTGCCTGTTAACTGAGCACTGCATGCAATGGGGGTAAATGACTGGACAAGAGCTTTATACTCAGTGTTACTCTGCCAGTTTCTGTGCAAAGACTCACATAAACAAACACATGTGAACCCAAGGAATGTCCATGAGCTGGACAGATGTGGCCATATTTACTCCAGCCTGCTTTCCTAACAAGGCAAGGTGCTTGGGTGCTTGTTCCTCCAGATGTGGGGGAAAGTCTTAAACATCTGGGGGCTTGGCAGCTGTGTCCATTATATGTGTTCATGGGATTCCTCATTCTCCTTTCCTTTGATTAATGCCATCATCCCTTTTTTAGGACATTTGTCATTCATGGTGGGATGGCAGTTGGGCAGTGTTGAGTTCAGGGTTTTGTGGCAAGTTTGTCCGTTTCCATGACCCACAGGGAGCAGACCCTAACTGTTGTGATAGTCAAGGTCGACCTGCTGTTACCGTGGCTGTTGTGAATAAACACCATGAAGCCATTCCAGTTCTTGCTCAGAGAGGAGCAGACATCGACCAGCAGTGGGGACCGTAAGTGAAACATTGAAAGGGCAGGAGGGCACCCTGTTGTGACTAGTTAGAGGATTCTGTCACAGTAGAACCAGCCCATGCAAGTGCCCTGTTCACTTGGGACCCAGTAGAACTGTTACTCTATTTCAGCCTTAAGTAAGAGGCTCAATGGGGTGTCTTCCAAATCTGGGTGCTTTAGTTACTCTATTATTCCTGTGAGAAAAAGCCCCAACAAAAGCAACTTGAGGGAGAAAGGGTCTAACTGGGCTTACAGTTCTGGAAGGATATAGTCCAACGGCAGCAGGCAGGGTCAGGAGCAGGAGGTTGGCAGCTCACATTGTATCCACACTCAGGAACAAGAAGTGGGCAGGGCTATAAAATACCCAAGCCCACCCCCCAGTCACCTTCCACTAGAGAATCTCCACCTCCTAAAAGTCCTACAACCTTCTAGAACAATGACTCAAGGGGCATTTCTTATTTAAATCACAACACCAAGTAAAACAAAATGTTAATATATTCTATTGGGTTGCCTACCTTAATGGAATAAATAAATATATATTTATATGTGCCCTGGCTGTCCTGAAACTCTATAGATCAGGCTGGCCTTGAACTGAGAGATCCACCTGCCTCCCAAGATCTGGGATTATAGGCATGTGCCAACACTATTAATGGGCTTTATAAATGATAGTGCATTTGCTAATGTATCAATTTGTACTTTTTTGTATACATTTTTATTTAGGCATGGCCAACCTAAAACTTGCTAACATAGATCATCTGGCCTTGAATTTGCAGTCCTTCTGCACCTGCTTCCTGAGTGCTGGGATTATAGGTGTATGCTACCACATCCAACATGAACTTGTACTTTTCTGAGTCTATTGAATCTTTAACTCTTGAGATATTGAGCAAAGTTTTTGTCACAATCAGACTGTTAAGACCTATACCAAATAAAGAGAGGCCTCAGTGTATTCCTACAAAAATACAAATATGATGTTATTGCAGAAAGAAATCATTACATAGCTGCCTGCAGGTGCTAACACAATCCATGAGAAGGTGGCGTGTGAGTTCACCACAGAATCTCTTGGCCCATCTAAGGATGGACAGGTCCTATGTAAAGTTACTTATTGTCCAACCTCAATGCCCTCTTGACTCATAGCCTAATTCTATCTGCAATACTGTTGTTTGCTTCCAAATTACTTTGGAAACTGGGTTCAGAAGTTCCTGGAGTATGTGTCATTTATGGCAATGCTCATCTCCTGGATATGATGTCAAAACAGAAGTGTCCAAAGATGCTGCAGGTATCTAGGCCTCTTGCTTCCTGGATTCTTACACAGACAAGTTCAAGACCTGGCTTGGTGACATGTGTTGTTGGGTACTTCCAGCCACCATGTAGGAAGGAGCAAAAATCCCATAGCTTTGCTTCTATTATCTGTTTCAATTTTTCTTGTGTTTTTATTTAAAATATATTCTTTATGACTACTTATCACTTTGGTTTTCTTGTGCTTTCAAATTAACCATAGGTACGTGTGGAATTTGCCACCCAGTCTTTTGGTACACGCCTACAGTCTCAGCACTTAGGAGGCTATGGCAGGATGATCATAAGTTTGAGTCTAGACAGGCCTATAGTAACAAGAGCCTGTTTTCTGAGTGCATTTTTATAATATTTCCTATAAGACACTACATCCCTTTCAGTTTTATTTTATAGCAGAATATTTTATATATAATTATAAAACATTGTTGACCTTCTTGAGTTTTGTTAAGGTTTATGCTACCACCCCCTTCATTTGCCCACCCTTTTGCATCATTTTCTTGATGATGAAATGATGGTATTTTTTAAAAATGTGTTTTTATTTTTTTAAAATAAGGTCTCACTGTATAGCCCTGGCTGACCTTGAATTCACAAAGATCCTCCTGCCTCTGCACTCTGAGTAGTGGGATCCCAGGTGTGCACCACTGCACCCAGTGATGCTATTTGCTTTATATTTTATATTTTCATAGTTCAGACCAGCTTTTCAAAGCATGTAAGCATGATGCCTTGTGGTTGATATGCAAGTCACTTTTTGAATGATTCCTTAGTAAAATGAGTCCTGGATTCATGAATAGTCCATTTAAGAGTCTGAAACTACTCTGGACATAAAACAAGTTGCCATTTTAATGTGGTCTTCCTTGGTTCCCTTATATAGCAGGCAGCTATGACATAGATGCACATAGGATTTCACTGCAGATATACCGAGTCCTGTGCTCAGTTATGGCCACCCAACTGGCTGGGGCGATGGTGCACTGCAGGTCTGCCGAACTCCAGCACTGTGGTTATGCCTGTCCATCTGAGTGGTTTCACAGTACCACTCCCACTGCATTCGCAAAGGTGCCCAGAGCAGAGTTTAACTTACATAGGTGGAAGACTTTGGGGGAAGAAAGCCAGGCTAGAGGCCACCTTCCCAAGTAAAATACAGATTTCTTCTTCCTCTGAAGTAGTTGCCAGGAAAGGAAAGTAGACTTGACTCCAGAGAGTCAAATGCTACTAAATCTAGCTCAAATATATCCATCTAGAAAGTTTAAACCATTCTGCATGGCCTCTGCCCTGCATCTGGGCTCAGTGTGTCCAGGGAACCATGTCACGTTCCCTCCATCCTTCCACTCTTAGACAGCAACCATTCAGAGACCTAGTTTTCCTGCACAGAGAGGCTTGGCAAGTTGTTCCTTAGCAAACCAGAATTAGGGACATCAAGATGATTCAGCAGGTAACACACCTGTCACCAAACCTGAGGACCTGAATTTAGTCCCTTTCCATTTTCCTGATAACACTAAAGATTTACCCAGAAATTTTTTCCCACAAATAGGTTCAGAAATACAGCTCTTCATGAAGCAACTCTACTTGGCCTGGAAGGAAGGGAGAGCATCACCACTTTACTGGGGTATGTTCAAAGGCTTACACCACTGAGGATATCAGCAACGTCTCTACTGACATCCAGTGGTGTTAGACAGGCCCTACCTTCTCAACTGCTATCCCTGTCAGTGAAGGCCACTACTACACAATGAGTGTTACCCTCATGGAACATGATTATAGGGCTTTGATGCAGTTGGAACCAATGACTAGGACAGGCAATTATTTGAAATCACACAGTCTCTTAAGGTAGAGTCACTCTTCAGAGAGAGCTGAAGCCATAGTGGCCTCTTTGGGACACATTTGGGGAGGTACAACCAGGATGTACCTACACTGGCCTCTGTGGCAAGGAATAGTCAAGATCTGAGAGGGTCATATGTCTGGATAACCTTAAGTGACTGTTTCTCCACTTCCTTTGCAGATGCAATGCAAACACCCAAAAGAAGAACACAAGAGGCCAGACAGCATATGATGTCGCTCTTGAGATTGGGGATGACCTCACCACTTCGCTTCTTGCCACTAAATTCAGCCAAAGTCTGGAGGACCAACTTTCCCCATCTGGGAACCCAATCCTAGGTGACAATTAGATCTGAGGTAGTCACTAGGCTGCAAAGAGACTACCCAGCTATAGCTGCTCTTACTTTTGGAATGTGTATTTAAGTGTAAGAATTAGGATTGAAAGAAACTCATAAGGGGTGTGTGTGTGTGTGTATGTGTGTGTGTGTATGTGTGTGTGCGCGCGCACACGTGCGCATACACACTACATGCACTTGTGAGTGGTAGGAGGGATTGAACCTAGGGTCTTGCAGAGGCTAGGCAAGTGTTGTATACCATCATGCTATACCCTAGCCTTCTTTATTTTGAACTCCTAAAGTTGCTCAGTCTGTCCTTGAACTCACTCTGAAGCAAGGAAAGACCTTGAACAACTTGAGATCTTCCTGCCTCAGCCTCCCAAGTAGCTGAGAGTACAGGCTGGAATCAGTAGACCCAGCTCTTTTTTTTTTTTTTTTAAACTAGTGTAACCACTCAATACCATGTATACCTTGGAGTACAGTAAATTTAACATATGCTTTTTAATGTTTTATTTTTTTGTTTTGTTGGTGGTGGTTTTTTTTGTTTGTTTTTTGTTTTGTTTTTGAGGCTGGGTCTCACTATAATATAGCCATGGCTGGCCTAGAATTTGCTACGTAGGCCAGGCTGGCCTTGAACTCACAGAGATCTATCTATCTCTGTCTCCCAAATACTGGGATTAAAGGCATGTGCCACCATGTGCAGACACTTTTTAATGTTGTATTGATAATTTTGAAGTTTGGTTTTATTTTTTTTTTCTTCTTTATTGTTGTTTTTCCGGGATGGGGCCTCATGTGTCCTGTCCTTGAACTCGCTATGTAGCTGAATGTGACCTTGAACTTCTGACCCTACTGCCTCCACCTCCTGAGTTCTGGGATTACAGACTTGTACCACCACATCCGATTTTATGTGGTACAGGGGACTGAACCCAGGGCTCCGTGCATGCTAACCAAATACTCTGCCAACTGAAGTGTCCCAGCCCGGTGGCTAACTTCCTTTTCAGTAGGTAATAGTTACATGTGGTTCAAAGTGAAAAAGTGTGAAGTCCTACGTAATAAAGCTCTTCTCATCCTGATTCTTCAGCCATCCTGTTTCACCCTCAGAGTCAGCCATGTCTCTGCAGGGGTGATACATATTATACAACCACATATGTATGTGTACACATGGAGTATAAGGTGAAAATATATAGCACGCATATCTCATCCCCTGCTCTTATTGGACATATATATATATATATATACAGCTTAATCAAATAGTTTATAAGAAGTCATAGTAGAATGGCTGTGTCCTTACCTTAGGTCTGAAAGGACTCTCCCCAGGATTCAAAGCTAGGTGACCCTGTCCCATGTTCCCTCAGGCTGGACTCTTCTCCCTCCTCCCAGTGGTACCCCCTGCATGCTGGTGACCTTGTACCCATAGCAGACAGGGGCTGGAAAGCAGTTCTATTTGGACGAGAGCTTTACAGATGGCTCTTTCATTCCTACAAAGGGGACTTCCCATGTATGTGTCTAGGAATGAGTTCCATGTCAATGTAACTTAGATTCTGCTAAGCAAGCCTAAGCTTACTCGGTGAGACATTGTATTAATGGCGGTTGCTCTTCCCTCAACTCGTGTCCTCACTTTTGATGTGATGTTCAGGACATCCATCAGGCAAGGAGAGCCCCTGACTGTAAGACACCTGGGAGGCACTTCCTACAGATATATGGGCATCTGGGAAGTGGTAGCAGATCCTTCTCTGACTGCAGTTTTACAGGTGTTTTGTTTTCAACCTTCCTGGGCAAAAAAGAGTCTAGTACCCAGCCCGTCCTTTGAAGAAGACGTCTCATTATATCAGAACACTGTCTGTGGGCTCCCAGCAGCTATATATCTCCCATTTGTTTAATAATATATATGAGTCTGCTTGGACAGGAGGGTGCCTGCTTTCTTGCCCTTTTCTCTGTGTAACAGGTGACACAGTTGGTCACAATCAGTGGCCTAGTAGTAATTGTGATTTCCCCATTCCTCAGAGCTACTTTTGCCTGCAGTGACTGTACAAATCCTGTTGACTAATTTTAAAGCAAAATCCTCTGCCTGGGTATCTGTTCTGTGTATGTTCCTTGAAAACAGAATGGAGGGTGATTTAAAATCCCTGATCTCTTGCAGAGGTGCTATAAGAAAGCATGTCTAAAAACCATGGGACTATTCCCACTCAGACACACATGCTGACACACTAATTGAGTTGGCATAAAACAGTCTTAGATACAGCACTGGGGGAGCATAGGCAGAAAGTGGAAAGAGAAGACAGAAGTTAGACCAGCTAAAGGTGTTGGAATGTTATAGTAATGGTATGGATATGGTTCTTAGTACATACAAAAGAGGGTGTGTGGGAGAGAGGTTTGGTGGCCATGCATGAGTGGAAGACAGTGGAGGTCAGTTGATGGGATGGGATATTCTCCTGTGGAGTCATCTGAAGGATGAACTTGCATGGTTCAAGGGAAGAACATCTGTCTAGCAGGATACTTCTTCTAACTGGTGTCTGTCTAGGGCATTAGTGCACTCAGAGGAGTCTTGAGTTCTTAACTGATTGGTGGTAACAGGCCCACTAATGGGACATCTACACAGCCTCCATTGTTTGATATTGGCTAAATCCATAGTGCATTGAGCTGGCTCATGCTGGAAAACAGTATGTAGCCCATTCCTCACAAAAAGTACCTGAAGGCCTCAGTAAGCTTTGGAATCCCCCAGAGTCCTCAATCTTTAGCAAAGCTGAATTTATAAGGTTGAAACAGACACTGCTTTCAGTAACAGCAGGCGAATTGCCTCCAGCCACCATTAAAGTAAAGCACTTCATTGTTTCTAATCTGTTACCGTTTGGGCCCAGTCTAGATCTTTCCATCTCCAGGTCTCTGTATCTACTTAAGAACCCAGGAGGAGCTGCTGTAGGTTTTCTTGGTTGATATTTTTGGCAGTATGCAGTCTGTAGATTTGAATTAGGTTCTGGTTACCCAAAGTGATGGGCTAAGATAATAGCCACAAAAATGGATTATCAAGTCTGAGAGTCTGAAAGCTGTCTAGACAATCCAGCTTTTGTTCATAGTACAACAACAGTGAGCACAGGTCTTCCGTGTGCTCTAGATCCATCGAATGCAAATCTTTTTAAAGTATAGGCAGCACTTAGGCCAGTTCATCCCCCATGTACCACTGGTACCCTGTAGGGGAGGGATGCGCCTGCACCTTCCTGCCTACTTGAGTTATCGGCATGACAGACAGCAAAGAGTTGGTGATCCCTTGCATATCCTCAAAGTTACTATGTCGAGAGAGGATTTTTGGTTGTGTCTAACTGTGACATGTCAGTACAATTAGTCTGTTTCCCTTCAGTAAGTTTCTTCAGTGGCATGACCGTGTGGGTTGTTTCTGTCATGTTCCTGACGGCCCAAGTTCTGAAGGTGTCTTTTCATGTCGAAGTGGTTTGACCACTAAATTGAATAAAGCTTGAAGTTCACCTAGGAGAATGGGTGAGAATAGAGGAGTCCCAAGAATAAACCTTTAAGAAATGCAGGTTAGTGAGATACCTTTTAATGGTTGAAGGCAGGTCTTTAAAGGGACTTACGGGATCTCATTCTTGTTTGCTTCCTGGTGATACAATGAATGATTTTGTTATGGTATGATGTATTGCCTTGCCACATGCCCAATGGCATGGAACCAATGATCATGGACTGGAAAGTTCAAAACTGTGAGCCAACACAAAACTTTTTGTTTATAAGTTGATTATCTCGGGTATCCTGTTGTAGTGATAAAAAGCTGACTAGCACAATGTTGTACCTGCATGCCTATACACTCAACCTCCATGCCCAAGACTGTAAGTCTTATGTTTAATGATATCTCTTAGCACAGGTGGGTTCTTAGGAAATAGTTGTGAAAATTCACTCTATGGTTTTCCGAATGGTCAATGAGCCTCAAGAACAGCTTTGAAAAATAGATATCTTGGCTATTAAGTTTGGAAAACGGTTCTTTTCTGATACAAGGTTGTGCTCAAAATGAAAATGCACATGTCAGTGAATTTCTAAATGAGTTGATATCTTGGTTGTAGGGGTTTATGTGCTGTGAGATAAGAAATGCTGGTGCAGGTTTTGCCTCTTAGACATGTGTACAGTCAAGATGGGCGCTCTGATCTCAGCAGATGACTCACTGCTTACCCTGTGCAGACAAGTGACTATCTCATAAGACATTTCATGTGTGTTATAAGAAATTAAAACAGCAGAAAATTTAAATAAAGGAAAAATACCTGAACTATCACATTCTTTTTAGAGTGTCATTTTTTTTTCAAGGTTTCTGTGCATGGACTATTTTAGTTTTTGTTGTTTGTTGTTTTTTATTTTTTTCAAGATAGTGTTTCTCTGTACCTTTTAGAGGCTGTCCTGGAACTCGCTCTGTAGAGCAGGTTGGCATCAAATTCAAAGAGATCTGGGACTAAAGGTGTGTGCCACTGCTGCCCGGCTGCATTGATTATTTTAAATAACTATTTTTGTTAAATAATATCTATTTCCTTATAGAATAATGTTATGGTTTTAGAAAAAGACGTGCATGTGTGTGGTATCTGACTGTAAGCACATGTATGGGGTGATTCACACTCCTGTGTATGCTCACGGAGACCAGTAGAGGGCACTGGATGTCACTCTGCTTCTTCCTCTGAAACAGGGCCTCTTCAAATTAGTGCTCCTATCTCAGCTAAGCTGGAAGCAAGCAATCACCTTGCCTCCACCCCCTCAGCTCTGGGTTACAGGTGTTTGGGCCTGGCTAGAATCTGAACTCCATTCTTCATGATTACAGAGCAAGCAAGCACTCTTAACCACGGAACCATCTCTCCAACCCTAACATGATGATTTTGATTGGCATGTGTCGTAGTTTCTTTTCTAGTTGCTGTGATAAAAATATCCTGACAAAGCCAACTTAGCTCATATGTGGCAGGAGCTTGAGGCAGTGCGTCGTTTCACATCTGTAATCAGGAAAAAAGAGCAGTGAATGCCTGTGTGCTAGTGCTCAACTCATTTTGTCTGCTCTTCCATAGCCCAGGGTCCCCTGCTTAGGGAATAGCGCCACCCCTCATGGTTTGGTCTTCCCACCTCAAATTAGCACAACCTAGACACTCCCCTCTGCCTGCCTTTAATCCCAGAACTCAGGAGGCCGAGGCAGGCAGATCTACGTGAGTTCCAGGTGGGCCTGGTCTGCAGGAGCTAGTTCCAGGACAGCCAGGGCTACATAAAGAAACCCTATTGGGGGAGGGGGTGCATTTGCATGCTGTTTGAGGTAAAAATTGTGATGTAAATAACTCATGTTGACTGCTCTATCCCAACATTACACAAATACATAAATTTACTTTCTTTTTGAGACAGGGTTTCTCTAGCTTTGGAGCCTATCCTGGAACTTAGTCTGTAGACCAGGCTGGTCTCAGACTCACAGAGATCCACCTGCCTCTGCCTCCCAAGTGCTGGGATTAAAGGCAAGCGCCACCACCGACTGCAGACATAAACTTTCTTAAAGCTTTGATAGGGGGCATGCACTTGTGCCCACAATCCCTCACTTTCTGGAAGAAAAGCCAGCAAAGAACTGATATGGGGAAAAACAAAACAAAGCAAACACGAACACTGGTCTGAATTTGGATTTTTAAAAATCATTTAGAGAAAATACGGCACAAATCTCATGTCTGTTAGCTAGGAAGTTACAAAATGTAACAAGTTTCCTTCCTCATGTGAAACAGGGATTATTTCCCCTTCCCCAGTACTCATCAAGTAAAGGAATTTGGAGGAAATATAAAGCCTTTAAGCTACACTGGAATAAAATTCTGGCATAAGAACTATTTCCCAAGACTTCTCTATTTGAGCCAATTTAACTGGAAAATCATCCTTCAATGTCATTAAAATACAACTCTTGCCAAGGATATGTAACAACAACAAAAAACATGATTTCAGTGAATTTGATAAGAAATTACATTTTCTGCATCTTGAGATTTAGTTCCTGTAAGCCTCCATGCTTGAGTGGATATAAATTAAAATACCACATTTTCAGGGAATCTGGGAAGAAATATGGTTTTTCCCTCCCTTAAGTCTCCATTATTTACATAAATTTGTATTTTAATTTGGTTCTTGATCACCAGAAGGGAAACCTGACAACACACTTTTGTTCCCCAAAAACCTACACTTGAATGGATTCATATTAACCATTTATTTCTTGACAGTTTGTAAAATAATATAGCATATAATTTATAAATACTCTAAAAAGAAAAACTAGGAAATGTATGAGAAAAAATCACACACCTGGGTCAGGTTTTTAAAAATATAGCATAATTATTTCCTAAAGGCTTTAAGAATTAGTGAATTTGCATGAAAATTCCTAATTTCAAGAGCATTTTGAAAGGAAAATATAGTATGCTATTTTATCCAGATAATCCTAGTATGCAAATTTGGATGAAAAACTGCAGTTAGGGGCTGAATCGATGGATGGTTTGGAGGTTAAGTGCAGTGGCTGCTCTTGCATAGAACCAGGTTCCATTCCCAGTACCCACATGGTGGCTCACACCCATCTGTAATTCCAGTTCTAAAGCATCTGATGCCCTCTTCTGGCCTCTGAGGTCTCCTAGCATGCATGTAATATATGCAGGCAAAACACCCAAACATATAAAGTTAGAAAGAAAAAAGAAGAAAAAGAAGGACAAACAAAAAAATGTGCTTCTGGGCCATCTTTTAAAAATTGGTTGTGTACATTTAGGTATAAAAACAACTTTTGGAGTGAATTTGAATGAAAAAGAAAATCCTATTTCAAGGGTTTCCTTGGGTTTTCTATTGGGTTTCCTACACTTTTAACAGAATTTCATTCCATTAGATAAGACTACTTCCACAAGGATCTCACTCAAAACAAGACACTCTGGTTGAGGAATCAAAACGCTATGGAGTGGCTGCCTTACTAATCCCTGAAACCACTTTGTGCTGGGCCACACCCTTAATCTTTCTGAGGCCTTCGGAGCCTCGCAGCTATGCCCTTGTCTTCTGACAGTGGAATTTTGTGAATAGTGCGTTCCTCAGAGAATGAGAATCACAGGCCAGGCTGCAAACTTGTAAAGGAAAGTTTACTAGACAAAAGGCCACACAGCATGAGACTGGAAAGGAGGTAGGTCTTCTGAAGTACATTTTTCTACTTCATGGAAGTGTAGGAATTTTCGACAATGAATCCTTTCCATCGTTTTCATTTTCAAAGGGAATGGAAGGGGTCTGGCGGCCGCCCCACACAGGCTTCAGAGTCAGGCTGCACGGGCAGTCTGTGGTGGGCACATTTCATCTTCCTGTGCCTGCTGAAGTGAGACCTTTGCCTAAAGCCTTGTCCACAGGCCCTGCACGTGCAAGTCTTCTCCCCCTGGTGTGGCATCTGGTGTAAGATGAGGTGTGACTTGTGGGTAGAGCCTTGGCCACACTCTCTGCACACACAGAGTTTCTCTTCAAAGTGTGCCCGCTTGTGTGTGATCAGAGCTGACTTATTGGTAAAGCCTAGTCCACACTGCCTACACACGTATGGCTTCTCCCTGGAGTGCATTCTCTTGTGTCTGATAAGCCCAGCCTGGTGACTGAAGCCTCGCCCACAGTCTCGGCACACATACGGCTTTTCTCCCGAGTGTGTCCTCTGGTGTGCAATGAGGTTTGACTTCTGGCTGAAGCCTCGACCACATTCCTCACACACCACGGGCTTCTCCCCGGAGTGTATCCTCTGGTGCCTGATGAGGTTTGACTGCTGGCTGAAGCCGCGACCACAGTCCTTGCACACAATGGGCTTTTCCCCTGAGTGAATGTTCTGGTGTCTGTTGAGATGGGACTTTAAACTGAAGCCTCGTCCACATACCCCACACACATATGGCTTCTCCCCGGTGTGTGTCCTCCTGTGGGAGATGAGAGTTGAATTCTGGCTAAAGCTGTGCCCACATACGCCACACACATAAGGCTTCTCCTTTGAGTGAGTCCGCTGGTGATTGACAAGGGTTGTCCTCTGCCTGAAGCACCGGCCACACTCCTTGCAGGCATACGGCTTTGCCCCGGAATGTGTCCGCTGGTGAGAGATGAGGTTTGACCTGTCACTGAAGCCCAAGCCACAGTCGCTGCACACGATGCTCTTCTCTTCCAAGTGTGTCCTCTGGTGTCTCACGACAGCTGACTTCTGACTAAAGCTTTTTCCACACTCCCTACACACATAAGGCTTCTCCCCTGAGTGTGTCCTCCGATGGATGATGAGGTTGGACTTCTGGCTAAAGCCTCGTCCACACTCACCACATGTGTAAGGCTTCTCGCCTGAGTGCGTCCTCTCATGGATGATGAGTGTTGACTTCCGGTTAAAGCCGCGCCCGCACTCCCTGCACACAATGGGTTTTTCCCCAGAGTGTGCCTTCTGGTGTCTGGCAAGGCTCTTCTTTAGGCTGAAGCCCTTCTCACACACCCCACACACATACGGCTTCTCTCCGGAATGCATCCTCTGGTGACTAAGCAGGTTTGTCATCTTGCGGAAGCCCAGCCCACACTCTCCACAGTTGACCATTCCAAATCGCAAGAATTCTACACGACTCAGCAACTTTTCAGGTTCTACAGTGCTCCCAGCTTGAGGTGGGCGAGCCTCCATCCCTACCTGTCTGATGCCATTCCGAGAGCTGACTGACTGCCTTTGGGGTACTCTGGACAGGGCTCCCAAACCCCTTTTCTTTATCCTCCTTGATGAAGGCCTGGCACCCTCTCTCTCTCCGCCTTCTGGTTTATCTCTGCAGGAGCTCCCACCAGAGACTTGCTGCTGCTCTTCCTGGGGCCCATGACAGGAGTCCCCTGCGTCAACGTGGCATTTTGCACACAGGCATGTGAAGAGCCATGGGGCACCATTACTCAGTACATGCTGCCCATGGAGTTTCTGATTGGTGGGATCTGGAGGGCAGACAGGACCGGGGCAGAGTTCCAGCTTTGCCTGTGCTGCAGAGAAAAGAATGAGTCAGAATGGAGTCCTTAAAATAGGGATGGCCCAGTCCTACCTAAGCTGTTCTTCAGCCACCCCTCCAAGACATCCTCTACATGACTTCCTCCCAGCCCATCACCACACCGTACAGCTACTACATCCAGATACGCACTACAGACTCGAGGCCATAAAGAGTGCCAGCTAACAGATGTGTGAGTCAGGCCAATCAATACACAAGTCTCCACACAGTTATGGCTACAGTTACCTGACTCACAACCACACCAAGACAGGAACTATGTTCACTGTGTACTGGGTAGTTGTGCTTTTGACAGAGAGCTATTAACAAAACCCATGTGGAAAAACTCTCTCCCAATGTTCTGGAGGATGGAGCAGGTGGGCTGAGAAAGCATCATTCCAACTTTAGTGCAAGACAGCACAGGAGAAGAGTGGGTGCCCAGATGGTGTAGCAGGTCGAGGTGCTTGCCAGCAAATCTGAAGCACACACGGCAGGAGAGAACTCAGTACCACAAGATGCCCTCTGACCTCCATATGTGTGTCATAGCACATGAATGCCCCACATCTCCAACAAACAAATGTTTTAAAAGAGGAAGAATGGTTAAACAGAATGTGCATGACACACGTGAACTGGTGTCTCCCCACTTGACAGACACTTTATCGGTGGACTACTCTGTTAGAATTTCTACAAGGCTGTAAGCCCTCAGCAGGGAACAGCACAACCATAGCCTATTTCCCCAGTACTGTAAAAGATGCCCCTTACCAACCTCTAAGTCCTGTTAATTTCCAGAATTAGTTTAATAAAAAAATGTCCCCAAGAGGCTGGACAGTGGTGGCGCACTTGGGAGGCAGAGGCAGGTGGATCTCTGTGAGTCTGAGACCAGCATGGTCTACAAGAGTGAGTTCCAGGACAGGTTCCGAAGCTACACAGGGAAACCTTGTCTCAAACAAACAAACAAACAAACAAACAAACAAACAAAAGTTCCCAAAAATCAATGCAAACAATAAACCTGGAGGCTAGAAATACAGCTGAGTGATAGAGTGCTTGCCCAGCTCTCACAAGCCTTAGGACAACAGGAAGACAGACAGGCAATCAGGCAGGCAGAAAACGTGAGGGGAAACTGAGGGGGAGAGGAAAGACTAGTAGGCTGAGGCAGGAGGATCATGAGGTTGAGGCCAGCCTGATATATACATTGAATCTAAGGCCAGCTGGACTACACAGAAAGATCATGTTTCTAAAAACAAAACTAGAAAACACACTGACTAGGTGAAAACAACAGAAACAAAAACAACCTTCAACATAGGTCTAACAGCAGAGGCACAGTTTATGACAAAAAAGGGATAGGTCCTGAGAAGACCAAAGTAACACAACATCAAACGGCAAGTGGAAGTTAAAAAGAAACCAAAAGGAGCCCCCAAAGCAATTCTCTGTGCTGTACCGATTGTGCTGTTTCATCGGTACTGGTTCTGGCCAGCTGAAGGCAATCACTGACCAACCAATTGGAGCAATTAGTACAGATCTTACCGAATCTTCCTAAACTCCCCCTTATCAGAATTACATTATTCTACACTATACCGAATACAGTTTTCAGTTAGAACTGAATTAGTATAATTAGAATAATTGTCTTAATTATTAAAGTAGGCATAACCACCCTTTGCTAACAAAAAAAGTTCTGTACTCTTGTCTATGTGGCAGACTACTAAAGAAACACCTTCCCTTTTATCTTTCAATGTCTCATTAAGTAATGAAGTGCAATTCTTTCATTTTTTAATTTTTTTCTAAGTGCAATTCTTTTTTAATTAAAATTTCTATGTGTATAAATGCTTTGTCTGAATATGTGTGTGTGTGTGTGTGTGTGTGTGTGTGTGTGTGTGTGCAACATGTGTGTGCCTGGTGCCTGTGGAGTTCAGTGATTGTGAGCCACCATGTGGGTGCTGAGAATTGAACTTGGGTCCTTAGCAAGGACAACTTAACTGCTGTGTCATCTCTCCAGCACCTAGGCGCAATTCTTTCCTATGAGCAGCTCCGATGGTTGTCACTACAGGTGTGATTGATAGTCTGGGAGCCACTGATCCAACCTGATGCCCATCCCTCCCCAGCCCCACTACTATCTGCTTTTACCAACTTCATCTTGTCTAATCTGAGGTGTTACACAACTCATATCATAGCTGAGTCTGTGTCTCTATTTATGGCCAGCAACTTGAGTCTTCTAACTTCTGTGGGTACACACAAAGTGGCTGGCCTTTATTTGCAGTCAACACAGTTCAAAATTAAATTAGCCCCTTCAAAGAAATTCCAACACTGTTTTAACATCTATATGCGGTGATGGAGGAACAGGAAAACAAAATTTCAATTTTCCACTGAATGATCTTTTCCATTGACTGTGAATCTGCCATTATGTGTACACTCTGGATTATGTAGTCTGAGGACAAACAACACAAAATATGGTCAATTCAACAAATTAGCTTATAAAATATTTTAAATCTACAGGTACTCATATTTATAGTTTATACAGATTTAATCAATACTGACATAGGTTTAAATTTTAAAAACTCAGTCAGAAATGGTGGTGCATGACTTTAATTCCAGCACTCAGGAAGCAGAGGCAGGAGGCCAAGGTAAGAGAGACAAGAGACACCAGGAATGTTCCTGTGTGAAGGCAGAGTGGCCCTCAGAGTCAAAGAATACCACAGTTCCTCATCAATACATCCTCTTCAGCATCCTGGGCCGCTAACAGCCCTGTGACCCGTATGCCCAGGCCTTTCCCACTCACCTTGACAGGCAACCTGTGGACATTTCCTCTCCTCTTGCCATGTTTCTTTCCCTTGCTCTAGCTGGGTGATGAGTTTTGGTTTTGAAAATGGGATTCCTGCTCACCAGAAAAGAAAACAGAATGGCTGTAGGTTAGGGTGTGGAAGGAATCCTGACCTGGTCTTTGGAATAGACTCAAGAGAAAGACTGGGGGTTTGAGGAAGCTGCAGAGGGCAGTGCCAAGAGTTAACAGTTCCTTGAGACTAGCGGAGGGCGAACTAGATGAGGATACACTGATCCTACTCCCTGCTGGGTGGACAAAACTCTATTAAAGTGAACTTTGACTGGTAACCAGACTGGGCAGAGAAATGCCTAGATCAGTAAAGTGTACCTTTGAGACTGTCTGTGAAGAGTTCCAGAGAGGACTCACAAGGAAGAAAAACCTGCCTTGAAAGCAGGTGGCATCACCCCATAGGCTGGGCCTGAATAAAACAGAGGTGGAAGAAAGTCCACACACAAAGGTTTGCCCTCCCCTTCCCCCTCTCTGCTTCCTGGCTGCCATGAGGTATATGCTGTGATCTGTCAAGCCCCATTACCATGACAGACTGAATCTATAAGCTGAAATAAATAATTCCTCTTTCTAAGCATAGTGGTGCACGCCTTTAATCCCTAAACTGGGAGGCAGAGGCGAATGGACCTCTACAAGTATGAGGACAGCCTAGTCCAGGTAGTGAATTCTATGACCCTGCCTCAAAAACAACATCAACAAAAAAGTAATTCCTCCCTTTAAGTTACTTTCTTGGGTATTTGTCACAAAAATGTAAAGTCTAACACACCTGTCTTATTTAAAAGAAGTTAACATAAGGAAAGAGAGAGCTCCAGACTGGAGAGAAAAGCCTAGAGATGCAGAGTACAACCACACACACACACACACACACACACACACACAAACACACACACACACACACACACGAATGCACACTCTCCTAGTCACAGTCAACTCTACAAAACCAAACATCCCTAGGAAAGCAGAGAACAAAACTTCTTTGCTCGTGTCAAATCCAAAGGTTAAGGCAAAAAGTAAGATGGCTGCTACAAAGTACAGCCTAAAATTCTAGGTACATATGCACTAATGGAGAATGTGGGTCCTGGGAGACACCACTTACCCAGAGAGACCAGGTTGCTGTAGTTCTCCAGCATCACGTCTCTGTACAGGGACCTCTGAGCAGGGCTCAGCAGGCTCCATTCCTCCTGGGAGAAATCCACAGCCACATCTCTGAATGCCATGTGTACCTGTAACACAGAACAGTCCTGCTTGCCCCTAAGCCATCCTTGATATGGCACAAGGTGAGGGCCAGGGAGAGGCTACCCCAGCAGAGGCAGTGAGAAAAACAACCTGCCATCAGCTGCCACCCTGATCCCATATGATCTGAGACCTCTAAACCCCATTATCTACCTAGTGAGTACCGTTTATGAACCTACAGATTCAAAGCCCTGGTAGGTTGTACATGCAAAAAGTAAAACTGGCCGTCCTGGGAATTTTAAATCTAGGAGAAAAGCCAATTTATAAAAATTAAACAAGCTGGACCATGGTGGTGCACGCATTTGATTCTAGCACTCAGGAGGCACAGACAGATCTCTGTGGATTCAAGGCCAGCCTGGTCTACAGTGCCAGTTCAAGAACAGCCAGGATTATACACAGAAACCTGTCTTGGGAAAAAAAAAAAAAAATTAAACATCAGTAAGGTATAAGAGACTTTCTAAGTTATTGGGTTTTTTGTTTTGTTTTTTTAAGAGTTCTTATTTTCTTTGGTCTTTTGAGACAGGGTTTCTCTGTATTGCTTTGGAGGCTGTCCTGGAACTAGCTCTGTAGACCACGCTGACCTTGAACTCATAGAGATCCACCTGCCTTTGCCTCCTGAGTACTGGGACTAAAGGCATGTGCCTCCAACGCCTGACTTTTTTTTTTTTTTTTTTTTTTTTTTTTTTTTTTAGTTTTTATGTATATGTACTCATGTCTATGTGTAGGCACATGCATATTAAGTGTACACAGAGGATGCACACAGAAGAAGGCATCTGGTCTCCTGGAGTTGAAGATACAGATGGTGCTAGGAACTGAACTTGGGTCCTCTGCAAGAGTGGTATGCTCTCTTTACCATGAGCCACTCCTCTAGCTCCCAGCCTTTCTAAGTTTTAAAAATTTGAAAGACAAAATAATCTAACACATCATACTAATGTTGAAGCATCTGAAATTATTACAGTTCCATGACACCACTGCCTGAATAAGCTACAACTCAGCCTTTGGCTGAGAGGCACAGGGGTGGTGAAGTATCTGAGCCACGGTCTCCGAGTTTCAAGCCCATCTCTGTCATAAACCAATGCTTCAGCTTTCTCACATGGGCAACCTGGCTAATGGCAATTAAATTCCCACACAGCAGGTGCCACAGCGGAACCTCTTGGCTACTCATCCCCACCCCCGTTCTCCTGTGCCCAGATCCATTCCTCTTGGCTCCTCAACTGAGAACACACTGGGCCCAGGTACTCCGTCTTCCAGAACAGAAAGGAACCATGGAAAGATCGGTGCACTAGTATTCCAGATAAGCCTATGGGGAGCAGAGCCAAGGGCATCCTGGGCAGAGACCGAGGGGGAAGGGAGGCACAAACCATCCATTATGGAACAAAGTGGGATGAAGCAATTAACTTTTACTACGGTAAAATACACATAACACAAAGTCACTTTTTATCATGCAGGTGAGTAGCAGCAAGGGCATTCCTAGTGCTGCCATTACCACTTCTCTCTCCACAACATTCTCAGCTCTTCCCTGCAGATGCTCTGTACCGAACAATAACTTCCCAGTCCCCAGCTCTGGTAAAGACCATTTCTGTCCCTGTACATCCGGCTGGTGCATGTGGCTTATTTCACTTAGTATACCTTTAAGACTCATCCACATGGAAGTATGCACTCCTCTGTAAAGCTAAGCGGTATTTCACTGCATATGTGTGTGTTACATCTATTCTGTAATTGACGGACATAGCTTCTAGCTACTACGAATGACTGCTATGCACACCGAATGTCTGGGTTCTTACCTTCTTTTTGTTTGTGTTTTCGAGACAGTTTCTCTGTGTAACAGCTCTGGTTGTCCTGAAACTTACTTTGTAGACCAGGCTGGGGTCAAACTCACAGAGATCCACCTGCTTCTACCTCCCAAGTGCTGGGATTAAATGTGCCACCACGGCCTGGCACCTTCAATTCTTTTGGGTGCATGCCCAAAAGTGGTTAACTGGATCAAATGCTAATTCTATGTCCACAGTACCATATCTGCTTCATTAACAAGGTATGAGGGCTCTTGTACATCCTCTCTAATTCCATTATTGTGTGATGTATATGTATGTTGGTGGGGGAGGGGGTGCATTCGTGTATATAGAGGCCAGACAAACATGTATCTATCTATATGGCAAGATGTCACTATATAACCTTGGCTGGCCTGGAACTTACTATGAAGGCCAAGTTGGCCACAGACTCACAGAGATCCACCTGCCTCTACTCTCGAGTACTGGGGTATAGGTGTGTGCCACCATTCCCAGCCTACTCTTCCTATTTTTTGAGACAGGGTCTCTTGATGAACCTAGAGCTCATTCACCCACTAGGCTGGATGACCAATGAGCACCAGGGAACCACCTAGGCCCCGAACCTTGCTACCAGTGACTGCTGTGCTTATAGACACACATTGTTATACCTATAGCTTTTTTTGTTTTTTTTTTACATGGGTGCTGGATGTCTAAACTCAGGTTCTCATGCAAGTACAGCAGGCACTTTGGCAACTGAGCCATCTCCCCACCCCACCCCCAACAGATGTAGGAATAAAGTGGTATTTCCTTGTGGTCTTCCATGTATCTCAAAACGGGTTACTTTTTATGTGTTTACTGTCTTTGCTCACAGATGTTAGGACTGGGGAGAAAAAGAAAACAACAAAAAACATACTTTTTAAACAACTGGGAAAACTCCACATGGACTGAATATTAACTACACATATTAAAAAGTTACTAATGGTGGGTGTAATAATGAAACTGTACACATTAGAAGTACACATTAAAGTAAAATTGTGTGCGCAAATGTCACTCGGTAGAGATGCCGGTTGAAGTAGGTGCCAGGAAATAACTGAAAATTCCTGAAAAGTATCCCGGCAAGACAAACGGTAAATAAGAACAGACACAGGCTGGCTCCCAGGGCTGAGCAGGCTAAACAGATGCTGAGGTGGAATCCGGGGAAGCAACAGCGGGTGTGATAGGTGAGCACACCTGGCCCTAAAGTCTCCTCACTCAAGCCTCACCTACTGGGCACTTAAAGCTGAGCGACACCCTCTACCAATACTGCGATTTCAATCAACGCTGAACCTGTCCCCACCCACAAAAACACAGAAGGGTCAAGCCTTGCACCCACATAACACTGGGGTTCACAGCTGAGACTCCCTCAAGAGATGCGTGCTCACACCCCTAAGATAACACACCCGATCCGGTGCGTCCTCTCAGCTCCCAGATTCCAGCACCACAGCCTAGTGCTCAGGCTAGACCCTAGACCAGCCATGAAGGATCTTCCTCTCGGTCAGAACAGGGCCCGCGGGAGAGGAACTCACCAACGCCACCAAAGAACAAGGAGCTGCTCCAGTCACCAGCTGGGGAGCGACCCCGGGTCCCACCACCTCATCCCCAGCAGGCGCTAGGACTACACCACCCAGAGTCCTCCAGGCACAGGGACCACGCCTCCCAGCATGCCCCACGCCACCCACTACACTTGGACCGCCCGCAGCTCCCATTGCCCACTGATCAGTTTGCTTCTGGGCGGCGTGCTTCCTTTAGTGGGAGTGTGGATGCTGCGGCACCTGGGGGCCTTATCCTCCTTCCTATACCACGTTTCTAAAACGTAGTCACTCCCCTCTCTGCGCCTTTGCCTGAGGAACTACACTTCCCAGTGACCCCTGCGGCGATTTCCGCATCCGGTGCTAGCCAACACCCCAGCCCGCACCCCTAAATCCCATTTACACAGAAACACACCGGCGAGGGGAAATGGCGTCCCAGAGACGCTTCTTGGTTACTCAGTAGAGCACTTTTTAGGGTTTTCGGGGTCTCTCAGAACCTGCTGTGGGCTTGGGAACCTGCGAGGGCTGGAAGCCAGGGCCATGTATATTTTAGGCGAAAGCTTTTTAAGAGTGAGCTTATTTTACTTTTTTCTTCTGAAACACTTAAGTTGCTCAGGCAGGACCTCGAAGAACCCTAACATGGAAGGGCTTGGGTACCCAGGATTTTTAAATCCTGGGATTCTAAATCTTTGATATTAAAAAAACTTGATGAGTATTTCACAGCTTGACCGACTCCTCCCCAAAGCCCAGGGGAGACAGTTTTAAACTAAGACCCTGAAATTGAGCAATAAAACCTGGGCTTATTTGGCTAGACCAGCTGGTGGCCACTCCCCCGTATTCCTCAGACTGGCTGTGAACTTGTGATCCTCCTGGACAATGGCAGCAGAGTGAGCAGAGCTGTGCACAGCATAGCAGGGTTTCGTTACATTCATGGCCATGTCTCTGGATTTCATTTAGAAACTATGAAGGCTGCAGGGTCTTGCTCAAAAGGACCTGTACAGAGAAGTAATGGTGGAGCACTGGCTGCTCTTACAGAGGTCCTCAGTTCAATTTCCAGCACCCATATGATGACTACAACCATCTATAACTCTGGTCCCAAGGGATCTGACTCCTGGCTTGCACAGGCACGAAATTGCTGTACACACACACATGCAAACAAAACACCCATACACAAAAATTAATTAATTAAAAATAATTTTGTCATCAATTAGGAGTCAAGAAAATGCCACAGAGACATGCCCACAGGCAAAATGGATTGAGGAAATTCTTGGGCTGAGGTTCCCTCTTCCCAGGTATCTCTAGGTTGGGCCAAGTTAACAATAAAAACCAACCAGGACATGTTAGTCCCACAGGTGAAAGGAAAAAGACCACCAACCTAAAAATCATAATGGCCACATTACTCAAAGTAAGCTTTTTTTTTTTTTATTCATGTACATTGGCTGTCTCTCCCTAAAAGCAGAATTCAAGAGATCAGCATCAGACATGAAGAAGATAAAGGCTTTTATAGCTCAGAAGTGGATTTCCAAATGGGGGACTTGGCAGTCAAGAAGGTGGGATTACAGAAGCAGAACTTGAGCATAACAAGTAGGTTATAACAACTTTCTGAAACAAAGACGTATTTTCAAGGTAGTCATACCAAGGTGGTAATAGCAGTAAGTGGTCAGAATACCCCTTTGAAACAAAGGCATGGTTGCTATTCCTGGAACAGGCTGAACAGAACCATTTGTAGTTAAGGTTGCTGGTGAAGCACAGCCCAATCCATGAGAAATGTATTTAATCATAAACAGGAATGAATCTTTCTTTTCCTTTAGTATAGAATGGCTTTCAAGCATAAAAGGGAAGCAGGCTGGTTTATTGGACACTGCTTTAAATTGCAACATTTTTGTTTATTTTTCTCATGATTCTGATGCTCAGACTAATCCTTACATATCAACTAGTTTGTGAGAGTGAAAGACCCGGAGGTCCTAGACCCTCACGCCCCAACTCAGGAAAGGCAGCCCCCCAAATCATTCCCGAGAAGTGGTCTTGATGCAAAAGCATGAGGTCTTTTATATTCCAGTGCACTGGGGTCTGCAGCCATACTCCACGTGGGGTAGAGGACGTTCTCGACCAGAGTCGCCGCGGTTTCCTGCTTCAACCCTGGGTACAGGGTTCAGACAGCTTTTATAGGGTTACAACAAAACCCACGCATCAAAAACCAACCATCTCATAGCATCCAGTGTGGACCAATCAATTTGAACTATCCAAGCCTGCCCTTTGCCCAGGAAGTCTGCTTTCGCTAGGGCTTCTGGGTAGTGTGGCACGGCTCATTTCCTGTTCTCATTTACTCACAGGTGTTGTCGGTAAACCGCCCTGTGGTAAACAGTCAAGAATGACCTTTTGCCTATTCACTGCTAGGGGGCAGAGTCTAGAGAGAATTAGGCTAAATTTTTCCATCCTTACAAGAGTCAATAAGGGCAATGTTAGATAATGGAACTTCAAATGAATTGCACTTTTTATCCTTTCCCTACTCCTTCCAAATAATCAGTAGTGTATCCTACACACACACACACACACACACACACACACACACACACCACACACACACAAGAGCCACAATGTGAGAAGACTCATCTAAAGAATTAAGTTCAGCAATAGAGGTGTACACTTTTGATCCCAGCACTCAGGAGGCAGAGACAGGTTGATCTCTGAGTTTCAGTTCAGTCGCTCTACAGAGTGAGTTCCAGGACAGCCAAGACTACATAGAGAAACCATGTCTTGAAAAATGGAAAAAAAAGGTTGGGGGGGGGGGTGTCCAGTTAGAGATATAGCTTAGATGATAGTTTCCTTGCCTAGTAGATCACTTACTTTTCTGTTGGTATGATAAAAAAATAAAATGACCAACAGCAACTTAAGGGAGAATGAACTGCTTTGGTTTAGGGTTCCAGAGGGGCAGAGTCATCATGATGGGAAGACATGACATGGCAGCAGAAGCTGGTTCAATGGTTTAAAATGTTAATGGTGAGTGGTTGATATTACTCTTTTGCTTGGAAATACACCATGAATGTTTCAGTTATTAAGATTTTATCTTTTCTGTAATGCCTTGTGACATAATTGTGTTAAATTATAGAGATATCTATATTCTTTATACCCAACTAATCCATGTCCCTATGCTGGCTGAATTGCTTGCAGTTACCTTTTAATTATAAGTGTGCTTTGTCATATTGATATCTGAGACACACACTTTTAGAATGTATGAAATTTGCTCTGGTTTTACCCCTCCTTACTTCATATATCCATGGCAACTGTGATCAGTACACAATGTCATCCTTGGAGAAAGGATGGAGTTTGCACCTTGGGAACTGGTTTTGTCACTATCTGGTTTAGTGTGTCTATATATTTTGGTGAGACCACAAACAACATAACCCTCTCTCATCAGTTCCTAAGGAAGTAGAGAATTCCCAGGGGTTGAGTACCCATTTCCACGGTTCTATGCCCATGTTTCTTCCTTAGCATTGAATACATGAATTTAGTAGGATACAGGTTTTGCTTCATTTTGGAGTGATAGAAACTGGACCCAGGGATTCCTTCCACCTGCTAAGCTCATGCTTAACCACTAAGCTGTACCCTTAACCCCCACATGGTACATTTGAAACATCACTAAACATGGCAATCATGGCACATGTAATTGGTGTCTACATGCAAATGGAACAGCAACATGTTTAAGTTCCATGCTCCTAGTTACTGGACAAAGGGACTATTTTAAGATATTTATGGGCTGAGCAGTGGCATTTATATGCAGGCTGTCACTTTTAGTTGTATCTGGATATCTGCCTCTGGACAGTAAGTTCAAAAGTGAGCCACTTGGTTCTCGAAGGAGGATAAACTCAGCTGTTGAATTTTCTTTCAAGTGACTCAGTTTGGCTGAATAGGAAGTTAGTTGAAGAACTTTCTCCATATATTTTGTAATTCTCCTCCTTGTTTCCAATTGTGGCTGTTGTCAAGTGTATTGTTATCAGGGTACTAAAACTTAGGTTGAGCTGCCAACCCATTAGTTCAAACCCCAAATGACTCTTCATCAAAAGGACTGAATGTAACAGAGACAAAGAATTCCTATGAGAACCACAGTGAACCCATAGGGAGTGTTAAATGAAGACTGACACTCTGGCTGTTATGTGCTCATCCCATTATTTTGGGGAAAACCCCAAAGAAGGGGAAGTAAAAAAGGCACTGTATCAGTCACAGCAGTCCTTACTTGTCAAATAATTAAGCACTGGCACCCTCTTCTTCTGTATCTACTAAGAATCGGGAACTTTGAATGAGCCTGGGAAGCCAGACTTCCTGGGATCTAATGGTTGAAGAAGATACCCATTGTTAACCTCTAGCTTCAGCACACATGCATGCACACACACGCTTAAAAAGTAATGTTGAGACAAGATGGTTCATTGCACAGAGTCATTTGCTGCCAAGCTTGATGACTTGAGTTGATCCACTGGACCACAAGTTGTCCTCTGACCTCCACAAGCCATGGCGACACACACAAACAAGTAATTAAAATTTTTTTTAAAGATATATGGGCATAGTGGATTTATGATGTGCTTGCTAATTTTTACAAAGGCAGAAGAGACTGTAATTAGTAGTTCCATTCCCCTCAAGGGAAGTCCGCACATATCAGGAAATCCAGCTTCCCCTTAAGACTGAACTTCTCAACCTGTGTGTCTTGACCCTGTTGGAGTCGATTGAGCATATCACAGAAGTAGGCTAAGACCATCAGAGAACACAGATATTTACATTGCGATTCATAACAGTAGCAGAATTACATCTATGAAGTAACAACAAAAATACTTTTATGGTTGGGGGTCACCGCAGCCTGAGGAACGCGTCACAGCGTTAGGAATGTTGAGAACCATTGCTCCTAATGGTCTCAGACCTTGCTCTCTTACCTGCTTCTGCCCTTGGAACAGCAGGGGTCGCCCTGCACACAGCAATCACGTCTTTGCCTGGTGCTGCTTCTGAAGTCCAGCAAGGGGATTTTTCAACCATTAGGGTTCAATTATCCCGCTTTTCCCTGGGCAGTGTGGGTCGCC